CGCCAACCTCCGCTCCGCTAGAACTCCCCTGGCAACCTGTCGCCGAACTCGAGATCGAACGTTCCCTACAAGCCGCAAAAGGCTCCACGGCTCCTGGTGAGGACGACCTGCCGACACTCGTATGGAAGCAGCTATGGAAATACCTTAAACCCTTCATCACCGAAATCTTCACCGCGTCGATCAACCTAGGACATCACCCAAAGCGATGGCGGAGAGCGAAGATCGTGGTGCTACGGAAACCTGGGAAACCGGATTACGCGGTCCCTGGGGCCTACCGCCCGATCTCACTCCTTAACACACTGGGTAAACTTCTCGAGTCGGTTATGGCGCGACGGCTATCATATCTCGCCTAAAAGCACGGTCTACTGCCAGACACCTAATTTGATGGGAGACCGGGCAGGACCATCAAACAAGCCCTGCTGGTCCTCTCCAACGCGATCGACCGAGCCTGGTACAAAATAAGGTGGTGAGCCTGGTGGCCTTCGACCTAAAAGGAGCCTTTAACGGAGTCAACAAAGTGAGCCTGGACGCCTGCCTCCGGGCAAGAAGGATATCAACAGTGGCGAGAAAATGGATTGCGAGCTTTATGAACGACCGCCACGCTAGCATAGGATTCGACGACTTCCGTACCGAGGTCACGCCCCTGCTGAATGCAGGTCTGGCGCAAGGCTCATCCCTTTCCCCTATCCTGTTTGATTTCTTCAATTCCGATCTAGTCGACCAACCCGTCACCTTCCACGGAGGTGCATCAGCCTTCATCGATGACTACTTTCGCTGGCGAGTAGGTCGCTCATCCGAGGAGAACCTAGCCAAGATTCAGTTGGAAGACATCCCACGCATCGAAGCGTGGGCCCAACGAACCGGGTCCCGCTTCGCAGCTGAGAAAACCGAGCTTATTCACCTCACTAGTAAAAGAAGCGAACAGCTCCAGGGCTAAGTGGCTATGAACGGGAAGACAGTGGAACCGTCACCCACGGCTAAGCTACTCGGCGTGATCTTCGACCAGGAGCTAAGATGGAAAGAACACGTCCAGCAAGCCATCAAGCGCGCAACCAAGGTCAGCATCACCTTAGGCGGACGACGATATCTACGCTCAGAGCAGATGCATCAGCTCTACCGGGCTTGCGTCACGCCAGTGGTAGACTATGCATCGACAGTCTGGCATGACCCATTACGAGACAAGGCTCACCTGCGACACCTGAACTCGGTCCAGAGGATATCGCTGATCCGGATCCTGTCAGCGTTTAGGACGGTAGCAACCCTAACCCTAGAGGTACAGGCACACATCTTTTCTACCCACCTCCGTCTCCGCCACCGAGCCCAGAACACCATCGCACGTCTCTACACTCTACCTCGAGAACACCCCATTTGGAATGCATTATCCCGAGCTCAGAAACGCAGACACAACATCGGGTCATATGCTCGCTTCCCACTTGCGGAAGCGTTGAAGACCATGAACGTAGACAGATTAAACGAACTAGAGTCGATCGACCCACGGCCGCTACCGCCGTGGCGCGCCGAGGCCTTCACGGAGATTGAGATCGGGCTAGACCGAGACACGGCAACGGATCGAGCCGAGACCGTACGGTCCACGTCCGACATTGTTGTCTACTCGGATGCCTCGGCACGCGAGGGTCACCTAGGCGCCGCCGTCGTGGTGCTTGACTACAACCTGGAGATCGCCGAATCCTAACAGATCCAGGTGGGAACAATGGATCGCTGGTCTGTCTACGTAGCAGAGCTCATCGGCATCTTCTACGCGATCAGAATAGCGTTCAAGATCACCCACGAACACTTGGGAACAGCAAACAGACAACTGACAGCGACGATCCTGTGCGATAGCGGGTCCGCCCTATAGGCGACCCAAAGCGCGAGGAACAGATCAGGACAGCGTATCGTCCACGCAATCCTCCAGGCTGCAGCCGAGGTTTTAGCAGTTGGAATCGCACTCCGCTTTCAATGGATGCCAGGGCATTGTGACAACCCTGGAAACGACGCCGCAGATCGATTAGCAAAGGACGCCGCCAACCTGGGCAAATCCCATCCTTTCCGTGCGCTCCTTACTAGAGAGAGGATACTCATCCGTCGGAACATCTACGCTCAGTGGGAACAAGAATGGAAATCGTCCACTAAAGGTGGTCCCTTACGAAAGGTCGACAACGCACTACTATCTAGTTACACGAGGAGGTTATACGGGAACCTGCCGGGGAACCGCGTATACCTCTTGATGCAGCTGCGCACAGGCCACAACCGGTTATCCAGCTACCGCAAGAAGGTTGGCTACAGTGACGATGACCGGTGCGCATGCGGCGCGCAAGAAACACTCACCCATGTGTTGGTGGACTGCCCGAGGTTGAGGGAACTTAGAAGGAAGTTACAGAGAGAAGTTGAAGACGCATTCAATAGCGTGGCGAGTCTGCTGGGAGGCTCGAAACAAGGTGAGAGAGGTAAACCAGACACCGTCTCGCGAGCCAGGACGGTCAATGCCGTGCTGGACTTCGCCGAGGCGTCACAAAGGTTTTGTGGACGCGCGCCACGAGGGCAGCCTAACAGTGGGAACGGCAATTAGGCCACGGTAGGCCTTGACGAGGCTTCAAGTTCGTTTTCAGGAAGTGGAACACTTTACATGTACATACACGGAGATATATAGTGGTTGTATCCTGCATATCGTTTTGAGGGGTCAGGGTAAATGAATTCACACACACACACACACACACACACACACACACAGAGTAGTATGGGGTGGCTCTGCCATTCCTCATTTTCCGGAAGATATCTAAATTTATGATGGATAAAATCGAGAGTGAGCTGGATTCAAGCGTTGCTTTGACCTTTTTCGGAGGTTGCACCCGGGATGATGGGTAAATAGCTTGTCGTCCTGTTTCCTGCAGAGTTGCCCGGTCATGTGGCTATAGATACTTTACAAGAGGCCAAAAACGATCCAGGTTGAATTATCGTCTACTATGGGCTTAGAACTTTTGATTCAAAGAAAGAGATAGAGAATAGAAGATCGTCGGTAGACTGTCGTCAATTCTGGAGGCAACAAGACGGCATAAAGAAAGGGCATACCGGCAAATAGCACCTGCGCCTATCTCTAGATAATTCTATCCATGAGACCCGTATAGTGCAAGTGGGATGCGGCTGGGCACAAAGGTTGAAATCTGCCGCATTGGTTCAACAAGTTGATTTCACCTCGTCTATTCAGAAACAGTGAGACCGTTATATTCACCAGGGGCCAAGCCTTGCACGCACAAAACACAAGCCAGAGCTCACATTTTATTCAATGGCAAAGACGCTCTTCCCTTAGAAAGAACACGGCTCTTTTTTTCTGACTTCACACTTGGTAAGGGCCTTCAGGATCTTTTTGAAGGTCAACAACTATCCGTTCCAATTCAAAGCGCCAGGTATATTGATGGTTGAAATAACCTCTGAGCGGATTTGGTGGCAATTCCATAGCCTATACAAGAGGTATGCCACTTGTAGTGTAGAGTAGTGAACACAAATACTGATTTTCAAAGCTTAACTCGGACGGTCCAGCCAGAGTTTTCATCTTCATCGGTCGTTCGGTTTCCGTTTATCTACTCCAAGACAGAGGAGTTGGTCTGGCGACGGGTTCAATTGAGGCTTTCCGGCCAGAGTATCGACATTGCTCTAGAAACTGTCGAAATACTAGAGGACCAGCCAGCCAATCGGTCGGAGTTCTGGTGAAGGAAGCACCCTCAAGGTCTTACCTCCAGCACATCTAACCAATCTGGACTAGGACGGGTACAAGATTGGAATTCTCCAATCAACCATGTCAGCCAGTAGGAAGATCATTTTGCTCGGTTATCAGAGCCATAGTCCTATATTCGAATTCCTAAGGTTTTTATATCCCCATGGACAAACTCGATGGAGGAAATTTCAACAACGTCGCGTTGGCTGGTCGACTGAATTCTGGATCTCAGGTTGCGTTGTCATTGATCGAAGGAGTCCAGAAAAACAAAACCTGGTGATATCGGTGTTGCGATCTAAAGAGCGTTCCGCGAGAGTTTTCATCTGCATCGGACTACCAGTCACCACATTTGGGCCGCTGTTCAATACTATCGTATCCACACACAACGGTGGCACAGACTCTTTTGAGCTTTCCAACAGCTTCATTTGGGTAGAAGCCTTGTTGGATATGAAGACGTCCTCGATGAAATCAGATACACTCCAGGACCATATCCACCATCCATTTCTGTACATGCAGAAGCAAATGGGCAGCAAGTCGTTATTGGTGGAAGCAAAACTTACTTTCGAATTGGCAACCTCAACCCGGATGAAGACAGCTATACAGGCTGAGTTGCTTCAAGTGTCCAATATTCGCACCACGTCTTCGCACAAACTATCACACACGCAAAACCTGAGAGCTCGGTAGTTTGAAAAATACCTCGTGGCACAGTTCGAAATCCGATCTCGCTCCTTGAAATCGGGATCCTTAGACCACAGATTGGTTCAGATAATAATTCAATCCGCAAATAAAGCTATTTTCATTCCATTCTTAAAATCTCTCATGCTGTACTATATCAAATACTATCCGTCACAGTGATCGCGATGCAAGATGACTTGAGGAACGTGTCAGGTTTCACGACCGGCAGACTAGACCTCTTCTGGCGAGAAAAATCATCAACTGATATTTCATAAAGAACTGTTCTTTGCCGCTTTGCACGGTCATCCTCGATGCTGAAGGGCAGTAGTTCTTTCGTATCCTAGAGCATCTTGTGGCGTCATAATCCACCTCTCTGGATGAGATGATGTAGATAGCACAAACAAGTCAAAGTTGTGTGAGTATTACTGGCATATTTATAATATCAAGTAGACTTTTGCGGGCTCTTCAATTCTCATTTCTGATCCCGCTCAAATACAGCGTTGCTCTGGCGAGACTCATGAGGTCGTTAATGGAATGGTGCCTCTCTGTGACAAGTGGTTGCTAGCGGCGGTCAGTGTCTGACACTAACGCTTCGGCCATATATGTCTCTTACTTATTTTAAGACAAAGAGGGATGATTCTCCCTTCACGGCATTCAGAAATTGAACAATGCTGGATTTGAGGGGCGAGCCACTCGACATGTCGTTTGCAACTACATCCTTGTCATTTTGAATCATGAGCTGCGTCACTATAGATGGCACTGCCGCAATATAAGTTGCCTCTGCCTGGGCTGTGGTACAACGTACACACCATTCTAGACGTGTTACAAGTGATCAGCAATAGGGTGAATCTGAGAGGATGATTGTTAACATACCGATATTTACCAGTCCATCCAGTCCAAACAGTATATCGTGACATGTCAAGGATGGAGGTAGGATACACCGTTGAGAACCTGATAATAAGTCAGTCCAGTCCTTATTTCCGCAGACGGTCACCTACTTGAACCATAATACATCCGAGCTCGAACTCGGCAGGACGAATTTTCGGGCAGGCTATGATATGGCCGAGGGTCAACCTCAAATCGTCCACCAGAAAAAAGTGAAATTAACATCGAGGTAACACTCCAACAAGGAAAGTACATTTCTATGTTGAAGCCGCCAAATCGTCCGATCAGCCAACGCGTGTCCTGTTTGGGATACTTCCTGATGGCAACCATGCGAGAGGGACGTGAGCAGCGAGTGTCGATGGTCACTTTCCCCGCGCCGTCGTAGGTGAACACAGGTTGATAGGTATCCCGTGGTGACTCTCGTCTGACAATCAAGAAGGATCCGATATCATCGGTATAGCACAAGCGTGGAAGATAAAGGGACTTCGGGGGACCAGTGATGACTTTCGATTTCGGCGCGCGAGAGGATGGGCGGCTTTTTCTTCTTGATATCCACTAACTATCCGCATTGATGGCGGAACGATTCGCTGTTGTCGAGGCTTGTGCGTGAGCCTGAATTTCGGCGAAGTCGAACAATATATTAGCCTGGAATGTACTTTCCGTCATACTGTAGTAGTGGTAAGGGTGAGCTAGGGTGAGAGCAGAAATTGACTTTTCGCCTTAAGCTGACAGATTGCGAAGACGAGGCTGTCTGAATAAATACTTGTCGTGAATGTCATTTCCCACATCGATGACTTTATATGAGGTGGCAAATCATGTCGACCAGCGGCGCAGAGTCATGCTTTGTCCGTGATGCCGCTACATCAAGTTGAGCGCTCTTCCTTGTAGGGCAACCTTTTCAACCGGCATTGACCAGATGTTTGAACCTATTTCTTGAGGTAAGTGACGCTGAAACATAAACTTGATGGGAGGCTTGAGAGGTTCTTACTAACGGGTAGCAACTAAATTAAAGATCGATACAGTAACGCTAGGTCTAGTTAATGTATCATTCGCTTCGAAACAGGTCGTGATCATTGTAAATGACGATTTCCAATCATCGGAGACTCGTATCAGACCCGCTTGACGAGAGGGAAACATGGAACATATGACTATGCCGTACTTGCTTATAACTAGGTAGGGGTACCAATCCAGTATAAAGTCCAGGAGGTGAATGATTTGATACTATATAAAATACTAAAGCTTTTTGGCCGAAAATCCGAGAATCTTTCCGGAATAACATGAAATGATGTTTGATGTCTTTTTATCATCAAAGAAGCCCAATACTCCTCACGATCCAAGCGCGTTTTCGACCCTTTCTAGTTGCTCCTTTCTTCTCAAGATACAGCTTTAGAGCCTGATGATGATTTTTCTCAACCTTGTCTTGTTGCAAGAGCCGTGAAAGAGGGGTCAAGTACATATTATCCAACGCATTAGCATTGGCTCCGTTCTCCACCAGAATTCTTGCGGTGACATACGAGCCATATTGGGCAACCCGGGAAAGAGGCGTTCTTTTGTCGCCATCGCGATGATTAATTGGTGTGCGGATCACTAATAGTTGTAGCAAAAGCTCTTTGCAATCACCCATAGCTGCGTAATGAATAAGAGACCTTCTAAGTTGACCCGTTGGGTTAGAAGCGCCTCTAAACTTGAGATTCGAATGGGCTTCGAGGAAATCCATAATCTCTTCGCTGACTTTGTTGTCTTTCATTTGTTTCAGGCGTTGGAATTCTCCATCGATGACAGTGGAATAGGCAGCCATAGGACGCCGAATGCAATGGCTAGTAGATAGTGGAATCCAAGAGCTGGGAAGAAGGTCTTGATTAATATAGGTCTTGAGATCAGCACGTAACCCTGCCCAGCTTACTTTTCGAAGCTCGCGCAGAATCAGATGGTTGAGGCTTGTTTAAGAGTTTCTGGTTGAATGAACAAAGTCGTGCACTCCGAAGTCAAATCATTGCGGGTAGCCTGTAATGTCTGAAGTGAAAACGATGCGTACCCTACTAGTTCACCTATCGTTAATCGTTCTTGCATTACTTTAAACTCGAACTTCCAATTCCCGGTACTCCGGCGTCGCCGACATGACGATTCCGATCACCTCGATGTGGAATAAATCGGGGGATTTTGGACCCGCACTAAGTTCTAACGCTGAACAACATCCTCCACTAGTTGAGAAATTTTCAACTTTTTGCAACTCTCAGCCTTCGCCGGATCTGGCTCATCTGAGAAAGGCCGTTTAACCGGCAGCGAAAGTGCTTGATCCTGATGATCGGACCCACCATGCTGGGGTGTGGTGTTCAAAGCTTTTAGGGCTGCGCGTGAAGCCTAGTCCGAGGCCAATGGACATAAGTCCTTGTCGGGGGATGGTACAACTTCAGTCCAGCCACTGGTCAGCAACCGTCAAGACCCTGGAGTGAAAGTTATAGAGCGCCTGGATTGGGCTGCGTTTAGCACGCACATACTGTACCTCGATCTTTCTGCCCTCCAGAAGGATCGCTATGCAAGCTATAAATGCTCTGTGTGTGGTTTGTGTGTAGCTGGTCTTTGGGACTGGACACACCTCTGCGGTTTTGAAGCACTCGATTTGTTCTTCCTCTGGAGTCCGGATTGCCGAACAGGAGCGCAACAAAGTCCACAGAGATTCCGGAAGCTTGACAGGGTGTCTCTCCAAGACTTCTCGAATGCTTGTGATGCTCTGTTTTTCCGTGAGCTGCGCGCCCCACAAATACCCTGTCTAAAGGAACTTACCTCGGCACTGGAGGCTTCATTGTAAAAGAATTTCTCATCGCCAGCCTCGCCCAGAAGATGCTGCCAGATAAGAAGCTTGGTCGATGATTGCAGAAAATGGGTAGCTGATTCAACATCGAGTGCGTCCGGGGAATTGCGTAGGAGACCAACGTAGATGGGAAGAAAGGCGATGCGATGTTTCCGAATTGCGGCTTCCAAGATTTGTCGCACCATGTTGGCCTCCTCATCTCGATCGACTAAAATCTGTCGGTCGCGATTCACCTTTCCGTGCAAGAAGTTGTACGCAAATTGATCCTGCTTCAGTCCTGACCCAGAGCACGGCAGACGCATTCCCTTGAGGTAGACCCGGCCGTGGAAATCGGGGTCGAGAATAAGATCTCCGACTTCGGTCTGTAGAACATCTGAGGGATGCGAAAACCCTCGAATGTCGAGCGTGACTTTCAGGCAAATGCGAAATTCTGCAAGCGACAAAGCTTTTTTTCGCGATTCTTTTGGAGCTCGAATCTCCAACGTCACTTCCCTATCCACGCGAGAACAGAGCCGAAACATGTCGGCACTTGGATCCGAGCCATTGGGACTGGAATGATTGGAAGGCTTAATGTCGCAGAAGAGACGAGATTGCAAGAGGCCAAAACGCCAGTGGCTCCTGCTGGCAGATAATTCCATCTCGACTCCACTGCGCACCATCACCAGGGCCGCCGGCTTCAGACCCTCTCCATGCCCTCTCCATGACAGCCAGCAGAGTTGGAATCATGCTGCTTCGATGAGCTGCCGAGTTCAAGTGCGTTGAGGCTTAGTTCAGCGCAGGAGTTGGAGATTGTCACGCAACCGCTGTGCTTATCGTACTTGATGAACCCCAAAGCACGACTCTGCCAATGTCGATCTGAGAGATCAGGGACGATGATTGCTATACAACTGCCTCTGTCTTCATAATATGGCTGAAAGTCGAGGTGGCCTAAGTTGAAACGTGCCAAGATGGCATCTCTCCTATTTTTAGTTATCTTTAGTCTCTGGGCACGTGTTTAGCGGATGGCGACGTAGAACTGACCAATTCTGATAGAGCTCCCTGAACGCGGTTAGGGTATCCCAGTCTGGGACATATGACGAAGAGACGGCAAAGAAAACTGTTTTCCTGCAATCACTCTGGTGCTGACGATGAGCTGGCTCAACTTGGAGAGGTTTGTTTTGATCAAATTCTCCACCACATTGCTGGGGAGATGGCTTGGTTACATCGAGTCTATTGTAGGGGGATTCCCATAAGATGACTGCTTTATCACAACTATGAGAAAATGAGGTGGAAAGCGAACCAAGTCGATGGGAAACAGTAGTGGGATTTGATGGGAATTTATAGACGAGAGGCCGCCATTAAGACCTAAGATGCCAACTGGTGCGATACTTTCAACACTTCCGAAATAAGTCGATTGCCCGGTCCGTTTCAACATCCTGGTGATCACCGTTCACAAACGAGTTTTTGTATAGACCATAACATCCGAGAATATATATCACAGACTGTACAGCCAATGAAAAACGTTTTGTCATTTTTGGTCTTGCCCCGGCATATCTCATCTGAAAGGTATCCTTCACTGACCTTTCTAGTTTATTATCCAGTCGCAAGTCGTCCTGACAACAAAATGACGATACGTGATGTGAGACTACGCATAAGCAATTGACAACTTATCGTTTTTGTATGACCTGCAAGCATCCTAGATTTTGTTAGTGTTTATGGATGCAAGTTGAGTCCATGGTGAAGACAAGCGAAAGCGGTGGGTGGGCAGAAAGGCACTGATAGCACTAGGTTAGTATTTTAGTCCTAGATCTAGCCTAACGCTAGGTCGGGTCCGGGCTAGGTCTAGGTCCTGCAAGGTTGTGTAGAAGACTACTAAAAATCTCTAGCGAATAGATAGTGGATAGTAGTAATACTATATTATTATCCTACTAAGCGAGACATAAAACCTCCTAAGCTTCGGATATATATAAGCTACTCTATTATATTGTTTTAATATGATCCTTTAGCTTAATAAGCTGTAAAGGTATCCTATTTTAAGGGCGTGTAGTACTATATGCTCTATATCGGATATTGCGTAGCTCTTTAAAAAGAGCAACCGAGGTGAAGTAATTATCTATATAGACAATACAGGGTGCTAGTTTAGGCAGGGTGTCTATCGTATTGGCAGGTAGGGTAGCCATCGCATTAGCAGGTAGGGTGGCTATCGCATTTAGCCCAGGAAGCTTCTTGATCATATCTAGCACTATCGTTGCTGTAGGGCTAAGACTAGGCTGTCTATGTAAAGAGATTCTACAAGTCAGGGTAGAAAGCCTGTCAATCAGGTAGGAGAAAAGGTAACAAGTCAGATTGTTCAAATACTGTTTCTTGGGGGGTTCGAAACCTCTCCCCCATGGCTCAATTTTATGTACAATCTTCGTCCCAAACAGAAAGAAGGGCTAAACACACGGAAAGGAGGGAACGCGAGATGGTGTAACATTCATACAGGGTCCTTCCCTGCAGCGTCTTGCCTTCGTGACGATGACGAAGGGTTGGTGGCTCACCGCCGAAAGGCTGCCAACCCGCCAGGAACCCCAGGCCTCGAAAGCCTGAGGCATCAACATGTGAATAACCTCATGACAGGATATATCATAACAGTCTAGCAGTCACCAGCTCTGCGATCCCTCATAGGCGGCTAGTCCATGTAAAGGTCCATATATAGCTATGTTCTGCGAGAGCAAAGATCTTATATCCCTGCTGAATTGGCTTGGCATCTTAACAGTGTGCTTCGTACGCCCAAAGTATCGGATCGTAGTCTTATCGATCGATATATTTAATCCTGGTCGGTAGTGCTTTTGGGCAGCCTTATTAAAGAACGAGGCTAATAGCTCTAGTTTATACCACCACTACTTAATAGGAGTATCATAATGCTCTTGTCGGGATATATACAGATATCGCTTGATCTGCTCAAAGCGCTTTAAGGTCATATAAAACCTAGGCATATGGAGTGGTCTCTCTTGCGCATTATGCTCCCAATAGTCACTAATACGTGCCTCTTAATGAATACCCATATATATCAGAATACCAAAGAAAACCTTGATCTCTGCAGTAGAAGTATCCTTCCACGGTCGGCTACTACTAGTAGTAGACAGATCGTCATCGCCTAGATTAGGTTTCTGCGCGTATTTGTTGGTAGACTGGCTAATGAATTCGAAGATATTCTCGCTGATAAAAAGCGTGAAGATCGCGTATAGGCTATCGAGGTCTAGGCCACTAGGTAGGTGTAGCTCTGGTGGTGTAGAGGTAGGGACCAAGGGCTGAAGCCGCTAAGATAGTTCCTCTTTGGTCGGTAATTCGGCGACAATCTCATCAAGGTTACGCTTATGTGTAGCCACAGTAGGTTTCTTTTTAGCCATTGGTAAAGTAGATGGTATAGTACTGTAGAAGGTATGGCAGATTGATATGGCAGATGGTAGGCTACGCGTGTTCTTCGACACGCGTGAATGACTTAGCAGGTAGTGGGGCTATTATATCCAATCATATATAGAATAATATAGTGCGTTGAATTAATTGGTCAATATGATACACTAGTGGTAATTCGCTAAATGGACTGCCCGAGACGGACGAGGGGATAGTGTCCTGCCGGTAAATCGGGCTACCACCTGACAGATCCGAGTATGAATCCATCATCATCATCATCATCATCATCATCATCATCATCATCATGATGTTCCGGATTCAGGTAGAATACTAAGGAGGGTTTATGTAGACCACGCATGCACATTTAGATTATAAAATCGTCTGGGATTAGTTATCCCTGATTTTTTTGGACTATTTCCAACTTGTACGCAAATTTGTCGTGATATCATCCCTGGTTATATTCAAGCGAAGAGGGCGTCACCCAGGCGGTACTGCACTGTCTTAACCTGGGTGTAATTCTCAAGAGCGTAGGAGCCGAGCTCACGACCTATACCGGACTGCTTGAAGCCGCCAAAGGGAGCCTGGTAAGAGATCAGGTTGTAGCTGTTGATCCAGACAGTACTGTAAAAGATTAGCTATGTCTATAATAATAGTAGACTTAGCACTTACCCAGCGTGCAGGGCGTTAGAGACGCGAATAGCAGTGTTCACGTTCTTTGTGTGGATACCAGCAGCAAGACCTGGCGCATGTTAATAAAAAAAAACTTACAATATAACAACTGCTCTGAGCTTACCATATTGGGTGCTGTTACCGAGCTTGATAGCCTCAGCCTCATCCTTGAACTTCTGCACCGTGACAACAGGACCGAAGATCTCCTCCTGGACAATCTTCATGTCGGTGGTGACGTCAGTAAAGACAGTGGGCTGAATGAAGTAGCCCTCCTTGCCGTAGCGCTCACCTCCGACAGCGAGGGTGGCGCCGGCCTGCTTCCCGTGACTGATATACTCCATGATCCTATCGAACTGGAGCTGAGAGACCTGAGGACCCTGGAAGGTGTCCTGCTCGAAGGGGTTTCCAACCTTGTTCTGGGAGGTACGCTCCTTAAGGCGAGCAATAAACTTGTCGTAAATGCCCTCCTGAACAAGAATACGGGATCCGGCAGCGCAGCACTGGCCGTGGTTGAAGAAGATACCAAAGTTTGACCAGGAGATAGCATTGTCGATATCGGCATCATCAAAGATAATGTTTGGAGACTTGCCACCTAGCTCAAGAGTAACCTTCCTGAGGTTGCTCTTAGCGGCATCTTGGAGGATGGTACGTCCAACCAGGGTGGAACCGGTGAAGGCAACCTTATCAATATCCAAGTGCTTAGAGATAGCGGCACCAGCAACACGGCCGAAGCCAGAAATAATGTTAATAACACCAGCAGGGAATCCAGCCTCCTTTACAAGCTTAGCGGTGTAGAGAGCAGATAGAGGGGTCTGTTCAGCGGTCTTTAAGACAACGGTGTTGCCAGTAGCAACAGCAGGACCGATCTTCCAGGACCACATAAGAAGGGGGAAGTTCCAGGGAATAATTTGACCACAAACACCGATGGGTTCGTGACGGGTGTAGGTGAGAGTCTCGGGGTTGGTATCAATAGTTTGACCGTGGATCTTGTCGGCCCAGCCGGCATAGTAACGCAAACAGCCGATGGAGTTAGTAATATCAATGTTAGCCATAGTAAAGGCCTTGCCGTTATCAAGGGCCTCGATAGCACAGAGTGTGTCAACATCACGCTCCATCAGATCTGCTAGCTTGTTCAAATAACGGCCACGCTCGTGAGGAGTGACCTGACGCCATGAGCCCTCAAAGGCCGCACGGGCAGCAGCAACAGCGATGTCAACATCCTCTTCAGTGGCTTCGTGAATGGCGACAATGCCCTTCTCAGTCGAGGGGTTGATAGTCTCGAAGGTCTGGCCCTTAGCACCTTTCACGAACTCATTGTTAATAAACCTAAAGCCAACAGCGGTTAGAAAGGGACTAGACACTATATATAGGTTAGGAAGACGCCATACAAGCCAAGAGGCTGCTCGTATTTGGTGACGGGAGTTTCAATAGTAGCGAAGAGGTCCGACATCGTAAGAGGAGAGCGTGAAAAGCGAAGGGGCATCTAGAGGAGAGAAGAGGAGAGGAGAGGAGAAGGAGTGAGGAGGCGGGCGAAGGAACGGAACATCATACAATAGCTGGTGTGGGGGTGACAGCAAAAGAGGTGAAGGGGGATAATTATATTGATATGCTACCTTTTCTACTTGGGGGATCTAATGGCGATGGGCCTATTCCTGCAGTGTTATATTATGTATGAATCATTATATATTCATACTTGTTTCCGAATATGTAGACTTCACCATTCCGTTAAGTTAGCGATCTCGAAAAAAGGATGGTCATTAAGAGGTGCTATAAACCAGTCAACCACCGAACAGCGCATGCCATAAAATGATACTATTATTGAACTTATGCCAGATTTTAACACGAAAAAAGGTCAGCATGTTAAACATGCCTAATCATCCATTGGAAAGGCTGGGTAGGTGGTGGGTAAGTTCCACACGGCCGTAAGCACATTGGCTATCACCTAGGCCGTGGACTTTCACTAATAATAGAACAGGTTTTAGCCCCTTTCATGCGGATTGTTTTATCTAGCCAAGAATAGAAGCGATAGTATGCCCCGCTGATACTTTTCTACGGCCGAATATATTAGATTCCCAAATCTATCCCTCCCTGCGGCCGTATGTATTATAAATCGGTACGGAGGATCCCTTTAAAAGTATTACGTCGACATTCGCAACTTGGATTTATATAACTATCTCGATTGTCCTACAAAGCTACATATGCAATATTTTCAAAGTACTCACTTTCCGTCCAGCCAAATACAGACTTACAAAACTTAAGAAATTCGTTAGCTTCACTATGCGTCTATCCATTCTCTGTGCTACTTTAGCCTATGCTGCTGTTGAGCTTGTTGCAGCCACTACCTTTGTATTGCTTCTCCCTGATACATAAAATACCTCGGGAACTAGTTCAACTAACAGAGCTTCCCTACCAACAGCACTCAGCACACAACAAAGTGTGGCTGCAGGGGACAGATGGAGTAAACCGATATGAGCGCACCTTCAATAACGTTGCCAATGGTTGGGCTTTGGTTTGGCTATCGAATTGTGAAGGATCTGTATACAAATGGCCGTCCAAATATGGTGACGTTTATCTCGAAGATGATGGAACTTTACATGATGCTAGCGGTTAGTTGACATTTTTTTTGTTTGCTTTCTCTTGACTAATTCTTGGGACTTTTGGACAGGCGAACAAATTGGAACAACCAGAAATCAATGCCTTTCGGAGGGCACAGACGAGGGGATGTGAGATATTACTAGGTAGGCAATGGATAGAAGTCTTGGTCCTATCAGTTTTATCTCAGGTATTGGAAGTGGCACCATTTGTTGAATGGGAGAGATGTTAGTAAATCTGGGCAGTGCAGAAAATCACCACGGGGTTACCTAGATAGATAATATTGAAGAAACTATTACGGGTGACCATGTGCAAATTGCTTGCTGTTATATTATGTGTGTGCGTGTGTATGTCATTTACCCTGACCCCTCGCAGAAAGTTGATTTCCTAACTAGATTAAAATAGGAATCCGTACCCAGCCTAGTGGGGTTGTGGTTTAGAATCCAACTTCGCGAATGATATGCAGGCTACAACAACTTTGTAAATACATGGTAATTGATCTACTAAGATTATCCAAAACTTCCTGACCAGTGAACTTTGAGCCTCACCTGATAAGGCCTATCGCGGCCTGTTTGCCGTTCGCGGTGTTAGGCTGCCCTCATAGCGCGGCCATAATGAGTTCCTAGATAAGGTGGCCAACAGTTGTCCGTGGCTGGGTGTATCTCCGCTAGAAGTTGTGAATGTGTGCCGGAACTGACAGGTTTACTTAGAATTGTGAGTCAACTTGTACAGTAATATGCCACAGCCATCACAGGTTGCTATTATTATCAAGTATTCGGCCCTTCGCGGCCCAATCTTCTATATTTTTAGATCATTTACCCTATACAGTAAATCCTCAATAAGCAGTACCCGATATAGGCAATAGCCAATTGATAAAGGAATATGATTGGTCCCAATATATTCCGCTATCCTCCGACCCCTATTTGTTGCGTAACCGGGATCCTGTAGGCGATAGGGGAAGGATCGGTTATCTTCTATTCTGTGTTTCTAGTTCTTCAATCAATCAATCTACTAAGAGAAGTAATTCCATCTATTACAGTCTGGAGACTCTACATATTGCTGTGATAGCTTCTTCTACCCTTACCTCTGTGATTCGTTTCACCAATATAAGCAACTCTCCGACTCCAACGTGACCTGGTAAGCTGTGGTTACTATAACATTAGAAGCATCTTTGGGGTCTCACCACCAGGTAGAAATGGCAGTGACTTTGGGGTATTAGACCCACACCAAGCGAGTACCCATTTTGTTCAGGGGTCCGAGCGTCCTGCATGCTCAACAGTACATATATAAGGGTATGTCTGAGTACTCTGTAACTTACTACTGTCTCTTTCCCCCCGGTCTTTTTTGGATAATGGATTGAGAATGCATCGTTGTCGTCGATCTTATCTCGTGGTTGCTTTATGGATATCTCTCGTGTTACTGCTATGGGCCAACCTCAGTTTTCTACGCGACATTGCACATTCTGCAGCAACCTTAAGTCCCGGCACACCTTCGCTATTTGACAAAGAATATCCTGCAACAGTTATCATTGCTTCTGTAAAGGGGGACAACTTGTCTTGGGCTGAGAATCGACTTGGACTACAGTCTTATGATGATATCGTGGTCTATGTTGCGGATGACTTCACAGCCGAGCATCACCCACCGTTAAATAAGGGGAGAGAGGCGATGCAATATCTAACATATCTGATTGACCATTATGACCGTCTGCCTGAAATTATGATATTTGTACACGCAAACCGACAAAGCTGGCATAACAACACATTGCTCCAGCGCGATGTCTGTTGGATGCTTAGTCTTCTACGTCGCAGTTATGTTGCAGAGAAAGGGTTTGTCAATCTCTGGTGTGACTGGACTCGGGGTTGCCCTGACTTTCTTCAAATGAATAAAGTCCAGTCAGAGCCAAACTCTCCACGCCACCCTCATTTTCTGCGTGCCCAAAGTGCATTTGGCGATCTTTTTCCCGACCAAGGGATCCCTCCTGTGATTTCCGCCGCTGGAGGTGGCCAGTTTGCTGTTACTCGGCAGGCTGTTAAAAATATTCGTTTGGAACGGCTGGTCTATATGCGAGACTGGTTGGTGCAGACTTCAATGTCAAGTTTTGATGCAGGACAGGTCTTCGAGTTCTTCTGGCATATGATATTTCTGGGAACTTCAGAGTCCGTTGTATGCCCTGAAGAGGCCTTCTGCTATTGCCAATTGTACAGCGTGTGCCTGGACCATAAATATGGCAGCAGTGAATCTGCTAGAGAGGTGTTGTCAGAGTTGAGGAATTTGGAGAGAAGGCGAAATGAAGTGGATCTACTAGTGAATCAGTTAAGGAGTCAGGACTATGTTGCACCAGAGGTACTTCGGAGCATAAGACAGAGTGCTGTCAGCAGTGAACATTATACTGAACCAATCACCTTCCTTCAGACGGAGCTTGACTCCATACAGGGGAGGATTGATAAAATCATCACACTGTCAATATGAAGCAACCAAAGTGTGCTGTTATAAAGAACAAGTTTGTCGTGCCAAATTGGATGGGAGGCGTTCAAGAACGCTGTAAGGGATGAAGAGATGCTACTCGCTTCAAAACTGCAACTGTAAATGCAGGATTATCATTAAAAACATTATTCCCTTCGTTCTGTGTCAAGAAATGTTGAATATTGGTTGAAACAACCTCTACAATCGCATCGCGAAGTCCATTCTCATGAGGCGGGGTAGTGCACCATATATCTTCGACAATGTGCGGGAAACATCCCAAGTTCCAATTTGATTTTGCCCAATTAACGATCCGGCTGCTTGCGAGTTCTCGGAGAGAAAAGATACCAAACTTGTCTGCAGCTAAATATACTCCACGATGACTGCGTGGTATTCCATCTGGCTTTAAATTCATAGAATCATCTACTTGACCGTAGTCTTGGAGATAGCAGAATGACAAAACGCGGGCTATGGTATCAACATTATCGCCCGGTAGGTTGACTTGTGATGACTTTGCTTCCTTATCATGTCTGTTAGAAGTTCGATCATGACTACAACGGGCAAGTCCAGAACTCCACTCACTTTGAACCCATCGTTTAGAGCAGCGTCAAAGAAGGGTGACTGAGAGCAGATGATGGCGCGGTGGCCTTTGAAATTATGTTCTTGACAAGATATTGTCATGTCGGCATATTTCCCGTCATCAAGAAAACTCCTCATCACAACTTCAAGATCTGAGAAACCCATAGTATAATATGCAGTACTTTGAGCTGTTACAGTATCAGGACTCACCGCATGGCCTGTGGAAGGAAGTCGTCCTGATGGGCACAGAAGTAGTTAACTAGATGGCGCAGAGGTTACGTCATCGTGAAGTAAACACAATTCGCCTGGACAGCATATCTTGAAAATCGAAAATCGAGCAGTTAGTAATTAATTTCTCTATTATTCTAGTAAACAGACATCTCTCCAGGCCTGAACCAAACATGATCGTCGCGACGAGTAGATCCGTTTTGCATCATTTCACCATCCTCCATCTCCTCTAGATCCCGAAGAGAATCATCAATATAATCACCAGCAGCTCGATTATACGATTGGACGGTTAGCCAGACGCAGGAAACGGCTACCAATTTACCACACCCCAGATTATGCCACAACACCAGGTAGCGGTAAACCGGCACGTGACCCTTAGTGGTTGAAGGGTAGATGGGTATACAGGTAGATCGTGCCAAGAGTCATCTACCATCTATACCGCCACGAAGGGCTGGATATATAAGGACACTCATTAAGCGTCATGTATTTAGTTCTTCGCGATCAATCTCACATTGTTACTTGGTTACTACCTTTATTACTTTACACTTCACAGTTCACCTTCAAGACAACCCAACCTACAAGTAGGGGAGCTCGCTTAGTATCACTACTTAGCGACTGACTTACTTGGCGCGCACTTCTGGCACGTTCTGCAAGATACTCAATAGGACCCGAGTCCGTGTAAGGCTTAGCATAGCAACGGTACGGTTGCGAGATACTCTTTGAATCCGCAGCGGAACTAGGCAAGTATAACCCCAATCAGCTCCACTCACACTGACCAGTCGGCACCGCGTAACAGTCTGGAAGTCAAGATTTTGATGGCCACATATAGGCTTGTCGAGTTGGATGGATTGCGCATAGTTGACACTTCCACTTCCTGGTTGCCGAACTAAAACTATAAATGTACGTACACGCCATCCAATGACTGTAGCAAGAAAGGAATATTTTCCACTCCGGCAAAGATAGTCTGCCTCTTACAGAGAGCTTCGACTGTACTGGGATCTCAGAGCCGTTTGCCCCTCTGGACAGCATTTCCTGCTTCAGTAAGACGGTCATTGTTGATAAAGAGTAGTACTGACGGCTTCCAGATCTGATTACAGTATCTTCCCAGCGTTAAGGAGAGTAACCGGGAATACTTCAGCAGCTGCTTGAAGGATCTGGTAGTTCACATTCAGTTCGATATATCTTCACTTGAATATCAGTATGAATTTCTTGCCGTATTAGGATATTATCACCTATTTCATCACCATGTCTTTGGAAAACAAAGCTCGAGCTCTTCCACAGCAGGGCAGAATTTCGCCAAGTGACCATCTGAAGAACCCCCTGGAGCAAATAGTCCAACTCGCAGCTAGACCCGAGCTACAGAGCACAGCCAGCATTTTCGATGAAATCAATCGCCGGCAGGCGGAAATAAATGCCAAGGAAGCCGAGCTAGCCAAAGCTCAAAATGATCTTAAGGCCCTGAAAGGTAAAACAGAAGACGCAGTCGAAGTGATGTTTACTGCGAACGAAAAGCTCAAGGCCAAGTTAAGAGGTGTCAAAGAGGAAAATGGGTTACGCCTCCAGTCCCTTGAGGCTAAGGATAAGGATCTCAACGAGCGTGCTGAACAGATAAGCGGACTCAAAAGCGAGCTGAAGAATCTACAGGCGGGCCATTCCCAAGAAATTGAAAAGGCGGCTCAATTATCTCGCGATATTACTTCTCTTCAGGAAAAACTCAAAGAGAAAGAAAAGATGATCGACAAAATGAAGGCTGCTGGCTCTAATTTGAAGACGCTACTATCTGAAGAGCAGAAGAAGAGCGCGGAACTTGAGAAAGAGAGAATAGTATTTCACGAAGAAGGGCAAAAGACTTTAGCACAGCTTCGGAAGCTGGAGAGTTTCGCCGTACGCGGTGCCGAAGCCGACGAAGATACAATGTAAGTTGCCGTTAGACTGTCATGATAGCTGTTTGACCTTTATGTATTAGGATGGACGAATTTTCGAACTTTTGGGATCATGCCACTTCTGAGCTTCGCTACGATCTTGAACCAAAACCTCAGTGTCGAAGCTCTCAGTGTAAGTGCTATCTTACCCCGTATCACATATTATGACTAACACCCCCGTAGACTAAAATGGCTTGGGACAAATTCCAAATGGATAGCGAGCTTGCAGTCCGGCATCATGTCCCCTTACTTGCTTTTAATTCTCCTGCTGCGAAAGGAATGCGACTGGCTGTGATACTAGCCATTCTCGCCCGAGAAATTGACACGAATATTTTCCAGCCAAATTATCTTTTCTCAGACACAGAACTAAGGGTGGTTTTATGTGACCTCGCTACCGTTGACGGCGGGAAAGAGTCGTTCTGTCGGTCTATGTTACTTTCCATCGATCACAGCGCCCAGCAGGTATCTATCCAGTCCAGGATTCAAACTGTGGTGTGTAACGTGTCAAACTCTCTATTCGGTGTGCTCTCAGAAGCCCAATTTGGCGAGTTTCGACAGAGAATAGAAAATGTCGTGACGAGGGCCATTGAGACTTGGCGTCCCATCCAGTCTGCTAGCAAGAAGTACGAGACGGATTTTGAACCGCTCAAGTGGGATGATAATGATTGGACTCAGTTTCAATTTCCCGGCGACAATAATGATCAAAACGAAGCGGCTAACAGCCACCAAGGCAGCAACCTTCTTACCGTTTTCCCCCGTATCTCTTGGGTGAACAATGATAAGCGCCATCCCCACACTTTTGTTGTCCAGCTCATGGCATCTCCAGCTCATGGCATCTCCAGCTCATGGCATCTCCAGCTCATGGCATCTCCAGCTCATGGCATCACAAAACCAATGTGTGGCTGCAGGCCAAGAGAGATATCGAGAGACTCCTAGTCCTAGGATGAATCGAATGGCATCCAAGGGATCAAGGCGAGCATCCATTGCCCAAGGCGCTCTCCCGAATGGAGAACGTTTTTTAGGGGAATCGTGAACCGGTACGTGAAGTACTGGAAAGGGACACCATAATCAAGGTCTACAAAGCTGCTGCGTTTGAGATTTCGGGTACTATATTTCTAGTCTCATGATTGCGGAGTGTTTCTTTCCTATGACAGTAAAATTTTGAGCCATGCATTTCTGAGCTGAAAACAATATACTTGATCGAGATGAGGTTCCTCCTCAACAGAAGGGCATAGAACCCCTATGAGAACGTCAACTATCCCACTAGCATTCGGTATTAACGTAGGGTGACATTAACAAAAATTGGCGAAGGGATCCAACCCGCAAGAAGGTGGTTGGCTGCTTTATATTCCACTCCCCTTAACCCACCTTCCCAAAGACTGTAATCACTCGACTTGGTAGGCGGATGAGCCGATTCTAATTCATTAGCGCCAGGAACGCGGGCCTCATCCTCCAGGATCGCGCTATTTATTCCTGGGAGCTGCGATTCCTCCAGGAGCGGAGGTAATAGGCCCTGTGAGCAAGCAAAGTCGTGCCTGGGAACTTTACTCTGGGCCCTAGGATCCGGGCAACCCTTTTGTAGCTGAGCTGCGTACAGAGTTCACTTAGACTTCCGCTTTAGCCCATGACTCAGGGTCGCCAAAATTTGTGAGGAGCACATGCGCCAACACTCCAGGCCCGTTACCCAGTATTGGAACTTGACTGTCAGCCTCCTTTACGTGTTTGTCTTTAGGTCACTGGCCAATCGGCCACTTGCAAATCATCTCATGGACATTGACAAATCGAGATTTTCGGATGCCGTTAGAAATAGTACCGACAGTGTCGCACATCCCACCGGCTTGCGTTGCGCACCAAATTATGTTTGGGCCTAAGCGGGACAAAACACTACCTGGCGGCAGACTGGAATGGGGTTTGAGGATGGCATCTGGCCTGAAACAACCGTCGATATTCCCTGAGCACGAAAACCCAGTTTTTTCAAGGATATACACGGAAAAGGTCAATAGCCCTAGCGACACGTGGCGACAAACAGAGGTTATACAGCGTCCTTTGTGGTTCATCAAGGACACCAAGTATGGTACAACCCCAAAACAGGACAATTAAAGTAGCGTAAGTATGCCCATCTCATTCGCTGCCCTCTTTTCTAGTCTTCACGTCATATTGATTAGGGTGGCGATCAACGATCTTTAATTTGCCATCATAGCCCATTCCACAAGCGATAAACCATATTCGAGAAAAAATTGCCCTTCCACCAATTTTCTCAGAACCATTAAGAAGCTCAACTGACTTGTCCTCAATAAAGATGGTTAGGACCGTCCTCGTTGACCCAGGTTCAGATCAACAAAGCACTACGAATGAAAGGCAAAGTTTCTAATCGCCAAGCATGATATTTACTGGCATCTAATCTTATGTAGCTTTCAAAGAACGTACAGTCTTCTTTGCCGATGGCAGAAGCAGCTAGAATTTTCTTGTATCACCTTTGTCTTACGGTAGCTCCAGCCCTGGCCGAAGAATGCCACTGGTCTTGCCCTGAGGCGGCAGAATTGAGTCAGCTTTCGGAAACAGTCACCGAATATTTTTGTTTCCGTCACAAGAAGTTATTCCAAGCCTGTGGTATATCAGAATACGAACGTGAATCCTTCTGCTCTGATTTGCATGGGATTCGCCAAATCCGACATTGTGCGGTTCACCGAGTCGCGGTGAACGCGGTCACTATCGCTAAATATGCGAGGAGTGCGCAGAACGTATTAGCAATACTGAAACGTCTGGGTGGAACAGAGTTTCAAAAGGCCTATGGTGGACTAGTACGCTTCATTGACTCATATTTCCTATCATCAATTCCGCTTAATCCCTCTATTGTCAAGTTGGAGCAGTTCCTTCAGACATTCTGGGATGTGCGAAGCCCCTGTACGCGACAAGTAGCTCCAGCCCAACTACGTCTCCAACAACGAAGCGATGATACGTTTGAAAGTTATCCGCTAGTAGAAGGAAAGGCAGCAAATATCCGACGTATGCTACAACTACAAAATACCGCAATGGAAAAAAGACTAGAAAATATTGCAAAAATGGCCGGGGATATTGAGAACTCACTTATCCAGAAAGCCGCTCGCCGGGCGAAGTTAAGTCAGCAAATCGACGAAGCTCAAAAAGAAAAATTGAGGGCACAGCGCAGCCAACAGGAGCGAGTTGAAGCCGACCGAAAAAGAAATGAACGGACACAGCGCAGCCAGCAGGAGATGAAGATGAGCAAGAATAAGCTCGAACTCGTCTGAATGTGATGCTACCTAGTCGAAATTTTACTCTGGTGTCCAAGTTGCTCAAAGACTGTATTGCTCCTGGTACCTTAGTTCTCCCAGAAGCAACCACAGGCCGTTTTTCCAAACGCGTCTCATTTTTCTGTCCACTTTTCTGGTTCCTGGAGCCGTACTTGAGGTTGTAGGAGCAACAAAGCTCCCGGGGCTGGATTGTATGTTTCCGGAGCCTATGGGACCGTCTCTAGGATAGAGTGAAGTGCCTCTTAGGATTAGTATTCCTTAAGTACGAATGAGGAAACTTCAGAGACAGGCACATGGACAGTGGTCAATCCCTTTCGTTAACAGCCCCGGGAACTATACTACTCGTAGAACCTCAGGCCGTTCCTAGAGGTCAGTTACAGGTTGGTCGACCGAAGTGCCTCGAGGATTCGCTGGAGTGTCCCTAGGCTCCAGGAAGTGTAAGTCGGCTCTAGGAGGTTTGTGCTCCTGGAACCTCCAGAACGGTTCCCAGAGGCAGCCACAAGTCTAACAGGGATCGAGTGAAGTGTCTCTGGGATCAATATCTCCCGACAGATTCCAAATAAAGGAACGGTTAGCCGCAGCCTAGTTCCGGCTCCTTTTCTAAAGTGGTTCTTTCGGGGCATTCTGGGGCATGCCCTAGTATACCGAAACGCACGTGATGGCACTAGTCTCTAGCGTCCGTGGAACGATTGGTTCACGGTTGCTCCTCAAGTAGCTGCGGCCCCCGCGCCTTCTTGAGGTCCGTAACACCTATCCCTCGTAGAGCTTCGACAACAAACTATTAGCCCTTCTCCACCCCTCTCGCTCACTTAGTTGCTTATACAACCTAAACCAGCAACCAAAGCGACAGAGCTAATGCTCCGAAGCCAGCTTTCAGGCTAGTTTAGAGCCATACCAAGCACATTTCGCGTCCTCCGCCCGGCAGCATCCGCGGCATAACACACCTTCCTTAGTGACCATTATGACAGTGCAATGATCTATCGTTATCGAGGCTTAGGGCATAATACCCACGAACATCGATGACCGACCGTTATGTGCTGCATACCGGCTTGCATAGCAAGCCACTATTCCCAACAGACATCACCCTGCCTACACGCCCTTAATGGAGTGTAGGATTAAATGCATCAACAGCAGACGGGGACGCGATCTCCCTTTCAACCTCACAGGAGAAAAACTGGCAGTCTCTGCACCCGTGGCCCCAGCGGAGCCAGGGGTAAGTAGAGACGGTAGGCCATCCTTGTGTCTGTGTGTGTGTGTATGTATACGATTCGGTTGACTAGGGGGTAGCGATCGAGAGGTAGGAGCGGAGGAGGGGTTGACCGGGCCTGGTCTTGGAGGATTGGATGGTGTTGACGAAATTTCTGGTGAATTGGAGGAGCGGAAGCAGAGATGAAAGGGTTGGGGGATTAGAAGGGTTTTCGCGTTATGTGATCTAGTTTACCGCCTAGCTATAGTGTCCTGCCGGCAAATCGGGCTACCGCCTGACAGCGAGTATGAATCCATGGCATCATCATCATCATCATCATCTTTTAAGCCCGGGATCTCAATAATCCGATAATATTTAATATTTAATAACTAATAACCCGGCGCAGAAGATCGCTAGTATTCTGCTCGCGTAACTAACTACCTTCTGCGCTGGTATAAGACCCATTGCGAAGCCGGTCTCATCAAAGTTATAGATATCCTCTGGTTGGATACCTTTCTCCTCGATCGCGCGTTGTACCATCAAAAACTATCCTCGTATAGCCTTTGGATCCTCGTTGAGAGCGTGCTGATAATCATATAGTCTAGAGAAGCGTGATCGAAGCTTATCACGCCGTTGAACGAACGAAGAGGGCTAATTTGTCCCTACTGTAGCTAGTGGGGTTTCACCACGCGCAGCGAGTAGTATATTAGCCATATCGCGCACAGTAGAGGGCCGTGGGGCTGCTCCACGCGTATCCATAGAGATAGTCCACTCAGTAAGCGAATCCTCTTCGTATTGAGTTAATTTATGGCCTGTTGGGTGGGTATTAGTGCGTGAGACTTTGCCATGAGCACGCGTCTAAAGTAGAACGTGGTATTTCGTATAGCTTCGCTGCTTCGCGTATAGATTTGATGCAGCCATCTTTTAAATCGGGTAGAGCCAATAAAGTCTTGCCCTCTTTATTCGCCAATTTCTGCGAAGATTCAGTGCGAATGGGTGGCATGGTAGGCGGTTGAACTAGGTAGGGTTGCAGAAGACGCGATTTTGGATGGGGTGGCCAGATCGGCCGGCAATTACGTTATTGACAGAAAACCAGTTCTTCTACGATCTAACACCAAGATCCCTTATTAAGGTGAAGGAGAAACATGAAAAAGGAATCGGTCGCAGAACCTGAAGGGATGACTACGCACAGCAAGGAAAGGAAGAAAGGCGAAAAAACGAGGCACTCTCTGACATGAGCTATCGAGAGTGGGAAAGCAAAGGAAAAGGCCTGTATGCCTCGGAAGAAAACAGTCGAACGCTGGTCCTGGCCGCAAACAGCGGAAAACGTCCGCAGAGGGAATCCCTATCAATATCACTGGTTCTAAATGTGCTGGATTAGATTTCACGAAAAGCACAGTAAGAGCAGAATATATAGGGGCAATACTCACGTAGCATTCAACAGAGTTAAAATTAAGCCCGTCATTGACCACACAATACCCATCCGTATTATACCCAATGTTACTCGAAAACTGTTCGCAATTGTAGTCTGTATGGAATATACAACGACATCTGCTGCGGTCATCACAGGCGGCAATATTCAGACTCTTGGTGTTGGCTGGTTTCCAAAGTGCTGCACAGCCGCTCCCTTGATAGCTTTGTTGTCCAACATAGTCGGAACAGCCATCATTGCTGTAATAATTGATTTGGGCAGTAAAACCCGATGCGAGGGTAACAAATATAGAGATGTAAGGAAAACGCATTTTCATACGAACAGGAAAGATATTAAAGAAGAACAGAATAATAGCACCATGGATATGCTTAGCATATCATATCAAGGTATGGTTGCTGAACGTAAAAATTAGAGTAGTATTTAAGGCTCTTCGTTGAAGTTTATATAAGGCCCTAAGAACGCTAGACTGAACTATTAATTAATAATATGTACGGCCGTAGAGAAGTATACAGACTAGAGAATGTAATGTATACGGCCGTAGAAAGGTCTCGGTGGGAAATAGTTGAGCCCGCCTGAGCTCATCGGCAATATGCACCGTGTACCTTAGCCCTCTATGGGTATTTCAACCTGCCACATGACATGCGTTCTTTCTTCAATCAATCAACCTTGGGCATTCAAGATTGGTTCCGCTTGAGCCTACCCTCTATCTCATTTGCCTATAGCGATTACTAGCCTATACTGTCTCAGCTTGCCCCGACAGTTATTCTTTGTAAGTACGAAAGTGTACAGTGGCACCGCAAAAGTCCGAGACCACCCGAAGTATATTTCTTTACCGCCTCCTTATTGGGGACATACCGCTAACTAACTACAACTTATGAGTGGTGCGGCCACTATTTGCCGGCAGAATAATTAACGTGATACTTCTGGTGGTCTCGGACTTTGGCAGTGCCACTATGTGTGCCGAAATTCGAGTAAAAACAACCTACTGTATGGTTCTTGAAATACATAAGTACTGAAGTGGGAAATCTCAAGGCAACCTGGTCGGCACAGGCAGGTCGAGGCATGAGAGAGACAAGGGACAGAGTCGTAGGCAGAGGCAGAACAAACCCCCAGCAGCCTACAGGAGGATAGAGTCGTTCTGTCGGCAAACGCCCTGCCAACAGCAGATTTACCTTCATAGGTAGAAGAATTCAAGGGATGTTAGACTCTTGAGAGAAAAAACTAGAAAAATGAGATGTAAAACTCCATTGAAAAGGCGTCCAATCCCACTTCACTTCCGCCGTGTGTGATGTATATCTTCACGTCCCCGGTTTAAAGTATACATACGATTTCAGCTGAAATCCACCAACACAAAACGGACAAACAGACCGCAAAACAATGACTAAGCTAAGTAATGTTACAAGATCCCCCAGGACGGTATAAAATATGGCATCTACTACGGTGTTTTGGGCTGATCCACACTCGCCCTTGAATGGCGTTACGAATTGCTGAGGTCATTTAACTAGTTAACATGAAATAGGTTACTCTTACAGTCAGCGTTCATTAGTATTTGGAACATGCTACATGGCCCACTTGTGTTTCTGCACAGGCGGAAGTACCAATGAACGGGCCGTCCACCCGGCTTCTATATTCACACCTGGGGAACAGGAATACTGGGTGACCACTTACAGGACTATGGCCTCCCCCCTTACAGGGTGTATGACGACACCGCCGATATTAAGGTAAGTACATCCTTTTCAATGGATCGTTGGAACCGCGATGTCGACAGGATCGTCCTGGATGCCGCCTCAAGCGATCCGGTCGAGCAGCCCAAGGTCAAGACAGCCATCGTCTGCCCCCTACCATATACGGCACTGGAATTGGTCCAGGTAGGAAGCGCAGTGTTCAAATTCAGGATCTGGAAAAGGCCTCTCTACGCAGAGTGGAAGCGCTTACCGTCTTTCCGGGTCAGAACGAGTAGAGAAACATTCAAGTCGCATATTTAGCGGATGCGTATGTTATTGTTGTGGAGGAAACCTTGAAAGGGGGCGAGAAGGCCGATTGGAGCGGCCATGGGTACTACTTTGTTAAACGGGCAGCATATTTGGAAAGGTGTGGCGAAGCAGTTTCCACCGATAGGTTCAAGAAGGGTTATCTGAAAAAACCCACGATGTTGAACCGCTTTCCGTGGAGGAGTGTCTTAGTCTAATTCAAGGGGACCCTGTGCCAGGCCTGGTGATCTAGAGAGTAAAAAGTCTGCGTATTGGAAGTCCCATCCGCAGAAATGGTTGGAAGCCACGTCAACCACCCTTATGGAGTATGTGAACGTACTATAGTACTAGAAAGGGGATAGCAAGATCATCAGGCGGGGCAGGAAGCTATCGTGTAGTAATCGGCAAACAGCTCGCATTCAATGTGTGAAGAACCATTTCTGTCATTTTATATACTTCATCGACTGATACGATATGCCCAAACAAGGCCTAATGGTCAAGCTAATTTGGACTTGAGCCTGTACGTCTTGCTGGGCGATTTAGGGCCGGGAACAACAATTGGAAATCTTCGCTGGGCGTGGAAACGCTTATTGGATTTGGACTCATTGATATTTTGCTCTTGTGACTCTCCTCATAGCGCGAGCTAGTTCAAAAAATGGACAGGGAAGGAGGTCAAGCCCAAACTGTTGGATCGATCTTACCACACTGTGGGTTGTCGAAAAACCAGTTGCTCGGTTTCATAGTTCTTAGCATGGTCGTCACTAGCTGCTATTAGGGATCTACTTACTCAGGGTATAACGGTTTTAATTGGGTTGAGCGGTATCGAAAAATGGTCTTGCTATTCGGAAAACAACAGTTTGTGGTGAACATGTTCCCAGTGGCATGAACCTACCCAGCTCGTACTATGGAAGCTATCCTCCCTATTTCTGGACATTTCCCGTACAAAATACCGAAGAGTGTATGAGGAATCTCATATCAGGAGTAAAATAGGTCGTTGAGTCGATCCATTAGTCGCACTAGTCTCTAATTGTTGATGAGTATTGTGTCCAGTCCAGTCCACCTGGTAGATGCCGATTTCAATGGCTGTTTGCTCTTAACTTCGTGGAATTCGCTACGGACACCACTTGGTAAGAACCACTTATCATGTAAAATAAAATGTAGAGTTCCTATTCTAAAAACTGAAGGACACAGAATGTGGAGATCTTTGGCAAATTGACGAGGCCCAATGGAGAAAACCTTTTAATCTACGCAATATGCCAGGGGTGATCGCTCTTCCTGATGTACGGCGCCATGGCCGAGACATTTTCTTTCAAAGCCGTCGCTTGAACATTGCCATCCCCGAAGTAGGCGAAGCGCCGCCCGCTCCAGTACGTGAATTTATAATCCTCATAGCTTGGTGGCGCATTGAGCGTCTTCAGGTAGTGAATAGTCTACGGTTGGTCAGTCAGTCAATTGTCCTTCGCCAGAACCGGGTTCTACTCACCGCGCCTGGCCAGATCCATGCCTTGCCGTTCTTCTTATACCAGCTGCGGCAAGTGTCGCTCCAGACAGTTTCCTTGGACTTGTGGAAAAGTTCAAGATGGTAGATGAAGTCGTCGCATGCTTCCTGTGTCACTTCAATTGACTTAATGCCCTCCTCTTGCATTTTCCGGAATATCTTAATGAAGTGTTCGGAAGCGGTCTCCAGCTGCATAGGAAGCTTGTCAGTCATGGTCTGCTGTAAGATAGGGAGCTCAGGAATGGAGGTTGATTTACCGCTGGAAGGATGGTTCCGCTGCAAACGCAGTTAATATAAGCACAGGGTTCAGGGAAACATAGGAGGGAGATGCTTACTTGGCCCATGTCCCGCCCACACCAACCATGACGAAGTAGTTGGGATAGCTTGGAGCGGTCAATCCAAGATAGAGGCTGCATGGCGGTCAGTACAACGATTATGCGAGCGTCAGTCCATCCACTTACTTTGGATCGTCCTTCCACTCGTCCTGCATGTTAATCCCATCTCCGTTGGTAAGTTTGAAATGAGGGGCGTAGGGAATGTCGAACTGCGCGCGTGATCAGTGTGAATCGATCAGATTTCTGCAATCAGTGCCAACTTACCCCGGTAGCGCACACCAGGATGTCAACCTTGTGAAGCACTCCATCGGAGTCAATCAGGCCTTCGGGTACGATCTTGGAGATTTCGTTGAAGATTGGCTGAACGTTATCCTGAGTGAGAGCTTCGAGATAACCGTCTCCCGGAGTAATCCGACGGCAGCCTGGGAGCCATTTGGGAATCAAATGTTCCTGAAGCTTCGTCAGCACGGCTCAATCTTTCCCGCATTGGGCAATGTATCGCCATACCTTCAGCTCCTCATGTCCTGGCCCAATCCGATTGTGCATCTCCTCCGTCATCACGACATGCATCTGCTTCTGCAGATCTGTTCCTCGCTGGAAGAAGGGGAACAGGAGATTCACCTCCGCCTCGATTTTCTGTCGCATATTGAGCAGGAAATCAGGGTCCTCCCTGAATTTGCGTTTCTCCTCATCGGTGAAGACGTATTGCCGACTTGCAGCGTTCTCTTCCCCCCCCCTTGAGGTCTTCCTTCAGCACATTTCCCCCGAAAGGAGGACTGATCCAAGTGGGTGATCGCATGAACAGTTTGAGGCCCTTTGCAACTGTTTAAACGAGTCAGCATGTTCTGGAGTTACCTTCGTACACACCCTACCTTTTTGGAGCTCTGGGACTACCTGAATGGCGGTCGACCCAGTACCAATAACTATGAAACAGATCAGTCAGTGACAGAACATGTCATATCGAACAGCGAGGCCTACTGCCAACCGTCTTGCCTACGAAATCCACCGACTCGTCCCAGTGCGATGGATGCATCTTTGGTCCTGCAAAGTCATATAATCCTTCGATTTCAGGCCCTATGCAGTTGTCGTCAGTCATCCACATCCAAATGATGGAGCCGAACACCAACATTTCCATTTATTGAGGTTTCCCGTCGCGTTCACTAGGACGTGCGACCAGTCCTCCCTGGTTTCTCCAGTGTTGGTGTCCTCGATAACGATTTTGTAGATTCCTTCCCTGGGATGCCATGTGGCCTCCACCACCTTCGAATTCACCTGGACGAAGCGCTGGCATTGATGTTTATCCGCGAATTCTACCGTAACGCATTTCATCAGTCCGGGCCCACCCGCAACCTCGGCTGAGCGAGGGTGTTTTACTCACTGCGGAAGTACTCCAGGATTTCCGGCGCATACGCGAAGTAGGTAGACCAATCGGGATGGGGTTCGAAGCTGTAGGTGTAGATCTGCCCGTAACTCAGCTGGTTGCTCTCGTCTCTGGCTATGTTCAGACTATACTCACATGCGACGGAATCTGTCTCGACTCGTTAGTCGACGTATACCATACGAAGGTGCTTTTCTGGAATTGACTTACATCACAGGCGCAACCTATAGGAGGAACCATTCATTAGTCTTACATCGCCATGGATTACAAATGGACTAAGTTATAGTTACCTGGGTATCTGTAAAAGGCACGAGGTTAGCAGCGTTCGACGTCAACCACAGCGACTTGGGACACTGACTTATTCTCATACCATGTCCCGCAAATATTGTCATTCTTCTCGTAGATAGCCAGCTCCCAGGTGTTGGGATCCATCTGATGTTGCATCTTGTAGGCGAGACATATCCCTACATGCAAGTGAGCAGCGCGTCGTGTCATGCGAACATGGCAAGCCAAACGTACCTGAAGCCCCAGCGCCGATACATGCTACGCGGATCTTCGTCTTTTTGGAGTGCCATGTATTGGGCAGGACATAGTTGCGACCTGACCCGTTCTGGGGATATCCGAACTCGTTCAGACGATCAGCGGAAACAGCTGGTTTGTCTGCTCCGTTGGAGTGTTCGCCTTCAGTCGAGACACTCTTGATGCCGTCATCGTTCACCCCGTTGGAGCCAGCCAATGGACCCTTCAGCGCAGGAGACATCGGGAAAGGCCTGGTCGTCAATCTAATGGTAGGTAACTGGAAGGGCTTCTAATAGTCAACTACTGATGATGGCCAGTTATCAGGTACTAAATAGTAGCGAGATGCTGCGATACTCCATCAACCTAAATCTCAGCTCGGAAGCCCTCAGTACACTATAATCCGTTTTATTTTACCGCGGGTTCCCAGATGGCCGTCAAAGCCATCGGTGCTCGTCGCCAGATCAGCTGCCACGCACGGAAATACGAATTCCGAGCCACTCGGCTATGGGGCAACCGAGCCTCACCATGGGGCAACGCTCGCCAACCCCGCGCCAGGCAATAGTTGGGCTTTACATGAATAATTAAGTGGTAGTCGACATGGGGCAGTTTTCGCCGCAATTGTGAAAGAATCCAACGATCTGGTCTTCTTCTTGCTGACAATGGCCCTCCTTCTTTCTTCCCAGCGAGTTACCACTCGCTCCACATTACGGTGCCTCTCATCTATTCGCGGTGTATCCAATAGGACTGCACACAATCAACGATTTGGTGCAATCGTTACTGGTGGGGCATCAGGCATAGGCGAAGCAACGGCGAGAAAACTGGCCAGTCGCGGCATCAATGTTGTCATCGCGGATCTCAATGATGCCCATGGTAGGGACTTGGCATCAGAGATCTCGTCGACCTACTCGGTGGACGCTCAATTCGTGACGACAGATGTCACAAAAGAGGAGGATGTTAAGGGGATGGTCGACTTTGCTGTGCAAAGATGGGGACGCCTCGACTATGCCGCCAACTGTGCTGGCATCTGCGTCGAGACTGCCCGCGATGAGGAAGTCAGTGTTTCGACCGACATATTTGACAAGTACGTACATAAAATTATTTGTAGATCGCGCAGCCTTCGACGTGGACTGACAGCCTCATATAGAACATACAAAATAAATCAACGGGGACTCTGGCTCTGCCAGAAGTATGAAGCACTTCAGATGCAGAAACAAGGTCCACTTCCTGTCGAATATACACCCCCTTCGACGTTTCCTCTTGCTCCTCAACGAGGAGCCATAGTAAATGTGTCATCCATGTCAGGCCTAACTGCCATGGGTCTTGCGGCTTATACTCCAACCAAGTTCGCCGTTCTCGGTATCACCATGAACTCCGCTCGGTTCTATGGCCCACACGGCATCCGGGTGAATGCTATCTGTCCTGGCCTGACCATGACGCAGATGCTCGAGGTCACTTATGGCAAGGACGGAAAGGAAGGCAGCGCTGAGAGTCAGAATAGTTCCGCCCTTTCTTTGATTCCATTGCGCCGACTGGCATTTGCACAAGAACAAGCGAATGCCATCAGCTTCTTGCTGAGCCCAGAAGCGAGCTACATCAATGGAGCACATCTGGTGGTTGATGGGGGATATACCCCGGTTCGATAGGGCGGAGAATAATTGGAATTATGTGAATAACGAGTACAATTATGGGTGTAACTATGCTCACAATATTGAACCTAGAAGGGGGCAAAATTGTGAGTAAAGCTGTCCGTAGGACTCGTGTGGCCGGGGCTAACTAGGCATAATCGATTGTACGTATGATGGCAAGCTTGATGGCAGGTCATGACATGTGTTCTTTTCATTACCTATCCCTGTTTACTCCAACGGGAGGTTATGAAAAAATTGAATTTACTCTACTTTGAATTCAAAATATTCCACAATGACTCTCATCCCACGTGCTAAAAAGGCTAACGAAGAGAGCTCCGTAACACTTAGAATGAAGAAGTGTGACGATTTCTGGGGAGTGCTTTTGGCAGCTACCACTGGCACAATTCAGTCCGTCGGGATTATAGAATTGGATCTTTTTATGATGAGCATCGAGTTGTACTTGTTTTGAGTTCCATGACCCATGATTAGGCAACGCAATCCTATCAAGACATTGATCAGGGAAGTCCTGCTATTTACAGCATCAATGTAAATGTTAGACCCTGTTGCCTGTTGGATTCTCCTAAGACCGATGCGCGCACCACCGCAGCAACCCTCCAGAGTGAGCGCCAGCTAGAGTGGCCGAAGAGGCTTGAGTGCCTTTGGTGCAGGTGGTTTTGCGAGAAGCCCAGAGGCGGCAAAATCCTTGAATTCCTGGCTAGCAATATGCTGCTCAAAGGCCTCACGGCCAGAGTATTTCTCGAAAACGTGGAAAATATCAGGGTTGACATCGTCGCGCGAGATAACATACTCGAGAGTTCCAGTCTCGTTGAGGGTCAACTTGAGAAGGCCAAGTAGATGACGTTCAACTTCGTCGCCGCCATGCGGCACAGCAAGCAGCTGGGGGAAAACCGTCAGTGAACGAGTAAATGAAGAATGCGGCGATGGATACGAACAGTTGCGTAGAGGACGAATTCGTCCTCGGGTAATACGGGGAACTGCATATCCATGTTGGCAATTTTTTCATCCGATGACCAGGCTGTGACAAATCTAAACAAATCTAAAGCCCCAGCGTGGATTGCTGGTCTTAAATAGTGGTGAGAGTTATGGCGCCCAATCAAGTTCTGAGCCGACGACTATGCCTAGGTGGTGTCTGAAACTTAATCCTTCAAAAAGTCGTTTTCGTTTTCGAACATCCCCAGGCGTTGAAGAATTTCATTGGAAGTAGTGGGATCCCCATTCATTACTAACGTGTCTAGTTTCAGAATTCCAACTCAGTCGAAATGAGAATAACCACGCCTAGTACCTGAGCATCCCAAACAAGGTTTGTATTCATAGCTAAATACAAAGGAAGTTGGAAGTTCACCCACCTAGAGGTACGAGTAGTAATGATATGATTCATAATACTATCACTGTTACGAGGCTGTCTAAATTAATACGAGGTAGATTGGCATATAGTACAAAATTGTAGCGAGGATAGCGCGAGGATGCAACGAATAGCTTATTGGCCTTCATGGCCGGAGGGGCAGGTAGGTAGTGGACATATTCTGAGACGCCGCGGGAATCGACCGATCCTGAGGAAGGCGGGAGAGGAGCGGTGACTGAGGGTAAGTCACAGACTTTTGGGTGCGACTGTATTGAGTGATCCACTTCCCTTTGTGTTTTGTATAGTAATTTGGTATCCTTGGCATTACGGTTGTCGTCATGTATCTGAGCCATCTCTGCGGTATTCAACCTGCTCCATAACATCTCGTTCTTTCTTCAATCAACCATACTTATTCATCTGATGCTGGTTCCGCTTGATCTCACTAGCCGATATGCATACTGGTCTATATTGTATCATCTTACAATAACATAATTTTATGAAGGTACCAGAAATGTATTCGGTGGTATATTATACAGCAGCGTTATATAACATGTGTATTAATTAAAGGACTTTTTAAATTATTATATTATTTGTTTAAGTTTAACAGTTCACAATAACTAGCCAAAATTTCTGTTTTGATTTGTGATTAATTTTTGTGAGGTTCCATATGAAATAGGTAAGAAGAAATCAGACTTGACCTCAGAGTGATTGGTTTAGTTAACTAGTCAAATTCACGTGAATGCTGACTCAGAGACCAAGCCCTTAGGATGAATGAAATTGAAACGAAAAAAAAAGTGAAATTTCAAGACTCGTAATGAACTGGCAAATGTTGTAATTAATACATCATTGCTTTATAATACATCATCATGTAAGCTTCATATGTCAGAGATTCAGGTATGTTGGGCAGGTGTGAGATCTAACCGCGTGTGAGAGGTCTAACCGCTTTCAAGGGCAAACCCTGTGTAATGTGGGGTGATTAGGAGGTCAAAGCTCCCCCGCTTTTTCCTTGGCCACATGACCTCGCAGTGGACAGGAGCTCTCGACTCATCTCCGTGAGCGAGTCTCTGGACAACTGATTTCCGAAACCATGTCGGCAGGACGAATCGAGTACTATGGAATTTCCGGTCGAGTGAGAAAGAAGTAGGTATTGCATTCGTTTGATCCACCCTAGGTTACTCTACTAACTATTATGACTTTCCTAGTGCGACTACTGCCTGCGATAGGTGTCGCCAGAGAAAGGTAAAGGTAAGGAACCTCATGATTGGTAGATTTTTCCGAACTCTGACACTGACTGAGCCGCGATAAGTGTGATGGCAACGAGCCGCAATGCTGGAACTGCGAGATCCACGGTTTTGAATGTACCTTTCGATCGGATGCAGACAAACGCAAGTATGTGCCATATCTACCTATCTCCGTAGTTAGATACTGTGGAGCTAAGCCCAACCTCTTGGATCACAGACGACCTAGGCCGATCGTGTCACGTATACAAGCCCTCGAGCAGCTTCTGCTGGATAATAACATTCCTATCCCCTCAACTGCTCCAACCACGGGAGAGCAATCGATTGGACTCCAGGAGTATTTGGCACCAAATGAGCCAATTAGTGGATTGCATGGGCAACCGGTTTCAAGAGGCTCGCCAATCATGGAAGGAGAGCCTATCATTCATTCAATTCCGGCGCCTCCAGCGGATCTGTTCATCTCAGAGCCAGAGTCACATGTTCCGTGCATGGGGGACGAGGCCGCGATTTCATTGATATGGAATGTCGAGGCTAGAGCCCCAGCTGACGTATTCGATTGTCAATTTCCTGAGAGTAGGACAGTCACAGCGACAGCTGATGATCAACAATATCTATCTGCTAATCGTCACGAAAACGAAGATGCATCCAGCAATCTTCATACGGAGCGCGATCTGGCCACCGAGAATGACCTGGATTCACTGGTGATACGGGTTGGATCTCTCCGGGTTGCGGAGGATGGGGAAATGCGCTTCTTTGGAGCCACATCTAATCTCCATTTACTACAGCAACGCGCTTTCGATCCCCTGTACTATCATCACACGATACGCGAGAATACTCAGACCATCCTCGAGAAGGCTGGAGTGGGACAGGAGGTTCCAAGGGAGCTAGAAGACCATCTCATCAAGTTGTATCTCTCCTGGGAAGACCCAGCTACCCACGTTGTCGATGGACAGCGATTCCTCGAGGCCCGAAATCAAGTCCTAGACCATCCATCCAATGTGGAGCGCTTGCCCTCCTATTACTCTGAAGTGCTGGTCAACGCAATGTCGGTGGACCTCCATTATCTGCACTTGGACTTCATGAATATCACTAACATGTAGCATTGGAAAGGTGTGCCATCGGTGCAGCGTTTACAACTCGTGTTGTTCCCGAGCTCCCTATGCCGATGGCTGAATTCTTTAGCTCTCGCGCCAAAGCTTTGTTGGAAGTCGAGATGGATAGCCCACGTGTTGCTACTGTACAGGCACTAGTCGTGTTGAGCGCACACGAGGCAGCATTCACCCGGGATGCTAGAGGATGGTTGTACAGTGGGATGGCGATGAGGCTGGCCGTCGATCTCGGCCTCCATATGAACGCGGAGATATTCGTAACTACCGGCGTAATGAGCAGAAACGAGGCTGATATACGACGAACAACTTACTTTGGGGTATATATGCTGGATATGTGCGTCTCAGTTCCTAGTGATACAGAACTCTTGTATGCTGACTTGCCACAGATATTGGAGTTACTACATGGGACGTCCCCCAATGATGAATGCGGTGAATGCGACCATCCAGATGCCTCAAACAGAGGATGATATGAATTCCCATAGAATATGGCAGCCATATACGGAAGAACGAGAGATAGGTATTGAGTCAGGGCCATCCTGGAGATCTACCGATCCAATATGGACTCAATGCAAATATACCGTAAGTGTATAGGTGGTTATAGTCTATCTATCCTGAGCTCAAGCTGTCATTATAGATATCTCTGTGCAGAATCATGGAGTCATTGCGAGAAGCACTGTAAGGCTACGTTGCACCAGTGACCCTATGTTGTGCTGGACTAACAGTCAACGAGATATACACCCATCCCCGTTCCCACGAACACTTTAATCCTTCGCGTTATGGAATGCACCGAACATCTTGTTAGATGGTTCAACGAGTTACCACCTACCCTTCAAGTTGACCCCGACGATTCGAACGAAATATATTTGCCGCATATCATACAACTCAAGTACAGTCTCCTTCTGATTACTGATTACGATTAGAAATGCTCCACTAACATCAAGCAGCATGCAATATCACGAGATCCTAATCTTTGCCAATCACCCTTTTGTCACTAACAGCGCAGTCAATGCCCTTCATACGCGCGACATGGACCATATTTGCAGAACATCGGCATCAGCCATCGCTAAGCTGCTAATGCTGTATGAGCGACAGTGGACTCTCGTCCGTATTAACATCCAAGCCGTAAAGATCGTTTTCTCTGCCACGTTGGTTCATTTGTATGCCTTATGTGACAATACCGTGACGATTGACGCCGCAGACCATGCCTTGAAGGACCTAAAAGTCTGTTGTCATGCCTTGTGTCAGTTCTCGCGTAGTTTTCATAACGGTATGCACCATGAATGAGCAGCGCAACTTTATTGTTTTATTTATTTCTCTCTGTTTGACTATTAACTAACTTAGCTCTGTCACGACAGCATTACGCGCTCTGGAGTTTATCCTCCTGGCAAAGGAAGATATGAAAAAGAACGAAACATCCTCGCAGCTGCAAAGCTCGATTTTTGGCAATCATGAGGTGGAGCGCAAGTGGTATATGTTGGAAGTGGCATTAGAGGAGGTTAAGGAGACGTTAAACAAGAGACGGGCTGAAATTAAACATGTTTCATGGATGGAGGAATGGTCTGTGCTGAGTTCATCTTTAGAGGGTGATCCTTTTGGGTATATTATATGAAAATAGCCCTCAATACAAATTCTTGGTGCCTCTATAGCGTATAAACGCTTTTAATTATACCTCGGATATACAGCACCACCAAGAGATGCTGAGGCAGATATCCGAAAAGATGTCCAACTGGTTGATCGTGATCGAACCGCCTAACCATTATTTGGTCGTCATCCCTCCACACTGACCGGTGGAAACCAGCATACTTCATGCCTGTAAAACCTTGTTTCTGAAAATAAGGTCAATGACCACTCATCCGTAACTCTAACCAAGCCAGTTATAGGCCTATTCCACCAGTTCACTGGCTCCTAACAGCCCTCCTTTGTAGGAATAGCTCGCTTTACAGCTAAAGTATTCTATATTACAGCGACTCACAAGGGAATAGCGGATATTGCCCAAAAGACTATACTACAATCCCACTTGAACTATAAAGATGCGACGGCCGTGGTTATAGGCTTTTCAGGCACACCAGGCACAATAGTCCTTTTAATTGTATCACCCGCACCATGTTGAATTTGGTTATAGTGAGGCCAGACAAACAGGGGATCTGCATCGCCAGGCAGCGGAATTGGGAGGCAATGTTACGGTCTTGGGTTACCATCCGCAACCCGCTCATGAATTTCATGAATTGAGGAAGGCTTTTGGCATCAAGGCAGGATTTTACAAGTTTATTTTCCCTTACACTGGGACCATAATGTCATCTGAGACCATTTATAATCAGATACTGAAGGAATGGGCAATGTTGCCGAGACGGGTATTGTCTACGATCGTAAAGATAATCTACTAGTCAGGGTAGAAGACTGCTGATCGGGTAAAGATTGCACAAGGGGACCTAGGGTAGGTCTTCTTTGGAACAGAGATTGATTCTTGAGGAAGGAAACTAGGTACGGCGGATAGGTGTGATCGCTTTATGTTCGGGTCTGCCATACATTGATATTATTTCCTGACACTTCCGGTCACATTTTGTCCCATTCAGTGGCTATCTTCCACGTTGGCTCTGTGAAGGAAATCCTTCACAGCGATAGACCATTCCTACGAGATGCCTGTGCGAGCGTGATCTGGTCTCAGATGATAAAGATACGTTCAGAGTTACCAGGGTTCAGTCCCCACCGGACTGAGACGATACAACTTTACGACTAGGTAGCTATCACCTACCCAAGTACCCAGTTGGCTTCCATATGAGGTGAGACTCAAGGCGCCGAAGGTAGCATTGTGCTGGTTGCGTCCCCTCAGTGCTCACCACACACGATCCGCTCAGCGTGCCTCCACCAATCCCATTTCCAGGTGGCTCATCAGGGCTCTAAACCATGAGCTAGACGTCAAATTTGGGCCCAAAAACATCTGTGTGAACACTATTTCTCCTGGGTAATATCTTAATTCCTATATTTTCTTCTTAGATTGCGATTCACTTGTCGAGGCCCATATTATGTACTGTTGTGGGGGATCCAGTGACATTACTTAGCTTAGTCGTTTCGGTTTTGCGATCTGTTTGTCCGGGTTGTTTTGGTGGATTTCAGCGGATATCGTATGCTTTTGATCGGGGAAGTGAAGATATACCTACAACACACGGCAGAAGTGTGGGACGCATTCTGAATGGAGCTTTTCTTCTCGTTTTTCTACCTTTTCTCATAGATCATGACGATCCTTCAATTCTTTTACTGAAGCAGCTAGATCTACTGTTGGTAAGGTGTTAACCGACTGTGCGATTCCATCCTCTTGTTGCCTCTCTTATGGCAGCTTCGCTGTTGGGGGTTTGTTCTGCCTCTGCCTACAACTCTGTCTCTTGCTCTCTCTTTCTCTCTCGTGCTTCAACCTGACCAGGCTGCCCTGAGCTTACCCATGTCAGTAGATATATATATATACTGCAATTATCGACGGAGCTGTGGAACGGCTCCCATCTCTCGCAGCTCTCATGAAAGAGTATCTATCACTTGAGCGTATAGGCAACCGGGCAGGTACCAAAGGCGCAATTGCAAATGACTTGAGCGATGGGTTCTTGTATATAATGGGAACCACTATAATTAGAGAATATCTACTGTATGTAGTAATCTACCTGCGACACAGCCAAGTTACTATGGAGGATTTCAATCAACCAAGAACACTTGTTAGTAAGGCTCTATTTATGATGGAGTCGTTTTTGATATGCTCCTTCATCTTGACGTCTATTCCAATGATATGCAATAATGGTATCAACAGCAGTCTCGGTTAGTTCCAAACTATCAGCATAAGCAAGGAATAAGTCCTTCCCGTCTTGCTATGTTTTTGGTGGTTTACCTTGCGTCCAGCAAAGTTTGGGGTCGCCCGCCGCGGCGACCATGCTGACCATGCTGACCACGCTGACTATATTGCTACGATGACTGCATCCTGGAGCAGATAGATATTGCAAACTAGCAGATAAGTACCTGACAGCTTACCAGTCTTATATAAATATGTATATAATCATGAGTAAGCGTCTGACACCACGGGTCCTGAATCCCGTGTGACCGCTTGCCAGTCTCCCGACCAGGTTCAAACCGAGGTGATGCCCCTCAGTGTCGAATTTAACTTTTGATATTACAGGCCAATTACCTGAAAGGTTGCAAAAACGCAAATAAACTGTCGTAATATTCACCGACGGCAGTGGAATTCACCTCCCAGTAGGCGCATCGGCTGACCCAACAGGAGAAGATCACTTCGGCAGCACCTGGCAGTCAACGGTATAACCTGTCGAGCTCACCCGCATCGAAATGGCCTTGGTCAAATTATGGAGGATGTGCCTAGGTACATCAACAGCAGAGGACAACGCACGGCGAAGATCGTGATATTCGCCGACAGCCAGGCTGCTAACCAGGTAGTACAACATCCAAAGCGACCGGCTGGCCAGTTCGTGGTGAAAGCCCCCTACGACAACGTTCTGGTCACCAGGTCTGTGTAGCAAATACCCGCATCCACACGACCCTGTTGTTTATGGTTCGATGAGTCCCCACACACTTGGGCGACCCTGGAAAGGAATCTGCCGATAAAGAAAACAAATCTCCAGCCCTGTAGGGCGCAGGTAGCATCGCAGATCAACATACCTCATAGTTACTCTGCTACCATCCGCGATGCTGGAACAGAGCTGATTCAGCTGGGTTGCTGGGTAACCGCCAAGCGCTGGGTGTGGCGGCGAAGCGAATTCAGGAAGGATGATCAGGAGAGTCTGAGAGGGACACGACCAGACGGCCCAACTAGCGGCTGGTCCGGGTGCCTTACAATAAGGATTTGCGGCTGTTTAAGAATCTACTAATCCCGTATACCTCTATTATGACCCAGATGTGGTCAATACGAGTTGGTCTCATGCACTGTTTGTTCAAATTCAAAAAGGTTGATTCAGAGGAGCGTAGCTGCAGGAGCGGATCTCCAACATCATTGTACGTTTCGCCGCAGCGTCCACTATAGGATGATCGTCGAAAAACCTTGCTAAACAAGATCAGGACAGGTACCAATCGATGGTGCCTCCACCTCCTTCCCTCCTCGTGACAAGCTACATTGCCGAGCTCATATTATAAGCAGGCCATCTCGGTCGCGTCTGACCTGGTTCCACCTCGACAACTATTAGTGGTCAATATTCTGTGTATTGATTAAAACACCAAAACCGTGGCTATCGAGAAACAAGGACAAACTATAAGAAAAACATGCCTATCGGCCACGAAACACCCCCAATTGAGAACGGGGGACACGATATTGATGCAAAGCAAATGAGTATAAGGAGACAATGCAGATGAAATGAGCTCGAGGGAGAGGTGAGAGGAATTGATAGATCTGGGGCGGTTTTGAGGGTTCTACTAGCGTTCTTGGATAGCTTCCAGTTTGGCACTACGCCGGTTTGCTTTACATTGACTATTCTTGTGTGAGATTTCTGGCCTCTGGACAGTTAACGTCGAGCGGGAGAAGCACATGCATGGCCTGTTATCCAACTAATTAGGCTACCCAGGTTGATAGATTTATCATCATCATCATCGGGGAATTTATAAAATTTATAACCTTGTATCGCCGCGTTCAGTAACGTTGTCTTTGATATGTGATTACAGTGTAGTCACAGCTACTTCAACAAGCTCCAGTGATGCAGCCTTCCCTTCGTTGATAGAAATATCACGGCCACCTACCCGCAGGGGGAACCTTTCCCTCACCTTTGCCTTTGCGAATATCATATCGGCCCTTTCGAGCGAAAGACCAATCATCTCGGGACAAAAGAAGTAGACGTAAACAAATTGGTGATGAAAAGGGGTCGGTCTCGAGCAGTAAAAGGCGAACTAGTAAACTTCGCATTTACTTTGTATTTTGGGGTGACCCGCTCGACCCGTTCGGTGGTGATTTACGTTAACGTTAACGTAGTTCCCGCCCAAGTCGTCCACCTGCTCGAGCCGTACACCCTGAACACCAGAGTAATTTCGACATTTTAGATAGTGATATTTCAACCCACAAGGATTTCTATAAGTTGATACGATATTCAAATTTCAAATATATCACATTAAGCATAATTATTTAGTCAAAAATTATTTTTGAGGCTATATAATATTAATATCTAAACATATATCACCTTGTCGGCCTGTACTTTTTGTAATGCATGTAAATAAATATTTAGTCCATTTAATGATGAATCTATACGAATTCATACGTTACCAGAAACTATCTTACAATGAACTAAGTAACATTATGTTCTTGTTGTTGATATATAGCCACTTCAAATACTGCATTTATTATAGTGTTTGGGTGTATCAGTGCCTTTCTGCCCACCCACCGCTTTCGCTTGTGGGTGCGCCCGCAATCCCCGTCACTTTTTTACCAGTGATCTACTACTAGCCAATTCAACCACCCAATATGCCTAAATATCTCGATTTTGATGAATCTCGCATGGCTGAAGCCTGCAAAGCGGTATTATCCCAAAAGAAGCCAAAAATCGCGAAGATTGCGCGTGAATTCGGTGTATCTCGCACTACCTTGAGCGACCGCGTCAAAAAAGCCAAATCGCCCATTACACCTACCAAATCGCT